CATGTCGGGCTGCCCCTTTCCAGGTTGGTTTGAGAGGACGTTCCCTATGACGGCAGCCATACTGGTCCCCTTTGTGGGACCAGGAATGAACATCCAGGACAGCATCCCCAGTGTGTTTCAGAGGGATCTTGGCTGATCTTGGACCTAAATTTTAAGCGTGCGATTTAACTCGAGGTAGAGCGCTCAGACCTGAGCACTTGCACCCAGCGAGTAACCATCAGTTAGCAGATGGATTCCCGATTGTGGCGCGTTGGGAATTCTCCTTGCATATGTGCTTGTGTGTACTGACTGCTGGCAACTGACTGCTATACTCACTTCATTTTATGAAATGACCTTGGCTGACGCGAAGCTGTTGCAGCAAGACCCGTGGGACCATGCACCTTCCCGGCGGTGCCAGGTGCCTTCTTAATAGAAGTGGACGGGGGTTTGGAAGACTATCCCCTTGACAAGGCCTCTCCACTTTCAATTCTTCGGAAAAGGGATATCAAATGAGTTTGTCTATGGTTTTGTCAAAATGGGCCAGAGGAAAGTTGTGTATATACCTACTTCTTCGGTGTTTTTTCAGCTGTGGTATGTTTCGTCGGGTGCAGTCCAGTCAGAATAAGTGGTTCTGAAATTTAATCAGAAAGCGGGCAGCTGTTTTTGGACATATTATTTGTTGTATATTTATAAAATATTCCCAATCAAACATGGGAACACATCCAGCGGTCTCGGTGGGGAAAAGGGGGACGAGCTCCAATTGTCCACAACCCCCATATGCTCCCGGTCTTCATGTGATGGAAAGGTGCTGAGACCTGTCATGTAAAGGGTGCAAAAGCAACGGATAATGAGAGGATGGCATATGCCCTCAATCACCAACTGGTGTTACATTGAATGTTATGGGCACATGGAATGCGCGGCTATTCAAGAGGGGATTTTCTCCAACCTCACAGCTTGGTTTTAACGCTCGACCTTCCTCTTGGTTTTGGGGTCCAAACAACAGGCTGGGGTGGTTGGCCGAACAAAAACAGGGAACGGCCCACGGACTTCGGCTGTTTTCGGAGACTTGCATAGCTCAGGAATCCAGGAAGTTTGGAGGTATCGAGCTTATTTTTGCGGCTCATATCACAGGCACATACTGCCTCACACGTCTACGGGCGGCGCATAAGCCATAACTTCAACCTTGTACCTCCAATGGCGTTGAACATAAGGCCAAGGGGCCAAGGACTGTTGACCCTGGATTCATCAAGGCGGATTAGGGTGGGTGTTTCTTCAAATGGCACCGAGTGATATCCTGAGACGTGGCGAGTGGACATCACCCCCCCCTGGTAAATTATGTCCACCAAAGGGCCCCGAAGTAAAATTCGCACCCCAATCCGAGCTGCAAGGATCTTGCCCTTCAGAACCGGAGATTGCTCCGGAAGGTCCAGGGTTTGCTCATTTTATCAGCTTCGTGCCCGATTCGAATTCGGTGCTGTCAGGCTAGTTGGGCAGAATACTGATGTGGGGTACAACGAGCTCACTTTGACCCCTGTCTTGGGTTCCTCAAGTCAGCGTGAATTCTAGTAGGACACAGGACTTCGCGATGTTTGGCGCTTGTTCGGGATCGTGGAGTCTTTCAGGGGTTGCATGAAGGTACCCATCTATTCCCCAAAAAACAACTTGCCTCTTTTCAGGTCCAACTGACTCTTTGTGCAACCAGTTCCAGCCAGGGCGCCAAAACGAAAACAGGGGCCAGTGTACCCATTGTATGTTTCACTCTCCACAAGGGTATTGGGTGAAAGTAGATGGCATTCACCCCCTTTTTGCTTGGTCATCCCCTTTACTTCCGCTCTTTGAGCCGGGAATTGCACCATCCATTTTCACCTAGCCAAACAGTACCCTAAGCCTGCGGTTTGGATTGGATGGGGCTTCTCGCTTTGGTTCGTTGCCCCTGGGGAGGCTCTAGTAGCTCAAGTGCGCAGCTTTCGGTGTTCATAAAGTATCAAGGGAGCCCGCCATTTCAGCCCCGGGGAGTGCAAGCCATTTGAGCCATTCTCCTTCAGGCACGTTGTCGGGTTCAGTATCCTGCAAATGTAGCCCTTCTGCCAGACAACTTTTCATCACGTGCCGAAGCAAGCTCGGCCCTGTGCCGTTTTGCACGACACAAGAGGCCGCCCTAAATCACCTTTGACTCCAGGTAAGGTGACTTGGCGGAATCTTTTCAGAGTATCTGTGATGGAGACTGGGAGCGAAGCCTTAGAACTACCAAGGAGAACATGGGCTCTTGATTTCTTCTTTTGCGGTTTTCAGGCAAAAGGGGCTTCCCCAAAATGCCGCAGTTTTTTGCATATGCAGCCAGGGTGTTCTTCAGAAGTTCTGAGTGCAGTGCTCGATGGTCGCCGTGAGGCGACTCCCAAGTCTCAATGCAGGGTTTCCTCTTCTGAGGTACGGCGTCCCAACCCAAACCTTAGGCCCAGCTTTTGTCATTCCTTGTTTGTCCTCTTTTTGGTATCTAGACCTTTCACAAGGGCCAGCTATCGATGGAGTTTCTTTTTGATGGCTCGTGCTTCAAGCGGTTGAGCGTCAATCCTGTACCTTGCAAGTGGCGACGCCGAGATTCGTTTTTCAAATGGCTGGTTGATTCTCCTAAATGCTGGACTTGTTTTCTGGATGTATACAATTGACGGTACTTTGCTGGTTCCGTTTGTTTCCTAGCAATGTTTGTAATTGTGGCACATGTGCCATGGTCTCTGTACCCCTCTGCTTGGGGGTTGGAAAGGATGGTCACCAACCCCTCAATATGGGTGTTAGATCACCATGCTATAAGTTGGGTACCATGACCATGGCACATTTTGTTTTGCCCATGGCACAACAAGTTCATTGGTAGGTTATTTTTCGTTCACTGAGGACGAGGAGTGGGGCTTATTGCAAACCTTCCACGGGGCCAAAGCTGAGCTAATCTTCCAATGAATACTTGGCAATCTGTAGTCTGAGATAAGAAGCGTTTGGTCCTGCGAGAAACACCCAGTTGCCGATTTTTGAAAATCTGGGGCAGCTGCGCTGAGCCCTTGGGTTGGTTGCAACATTTATCAACGCCCAGGTATCTGTTAAAAGGTAAACCAAGGGGTTGTTCATGCAACAATTTTACGCTGAAACAAGGGCTTGGTCCCACCCTAACTCTCCAGTGGAGTGACACACCAGTTGGATCAAACCTCTTATTGTTGGGGGCATATCGAAGGGACCCCACACGTGAAAGCCACTTGGGATGCTCTGCATCGGTTTTGAGACATCAAGACAAATTGAGAACGTGCTGTTTAACCGTTGTGAGTCGTGAACTTTGTTTCCGTTTGGTTTTTTCTTGAACGACGCCTTCTTTCGGAAAACGTCAAGCCCTTGGGAAAGGATGGGGGGGAAACAAGTGATTCCTTGCCGCCAAGTCATGAAACTCACTTTTTTCCAGGTCAATTGGACCAACCCAATTGAGTCGCAGTCTCAAATAAAAGAAAGGCACCCAAGTCTTTGATGGATGCCTGTCGCAAGGGGGGCGCAGTGAATGGTGGCTGCAAACGGACCAACGGAGGGTTGGGCCAAACCCTTGTTCAACAGGTCGGTTTGAGCCAATTTTTGGACCAACACCGTCCCTTTGAACTGCGGACAGAGGGTAATTTGGAGGATGTGTTACTCAAATGGACCTTCAACTCTGGGCTCAATTGTTGCAGCGGCCACAGTTGCCCATTCTGAAGTTGCCCACCGGGCTGGAATCCCCCCGATTTGTTTGGAGGGGCTGCTCGGGTTTTGGCCAACTCGTTTTGGGACGCAGAAATCGCTCAGCTCTACATGCTGACAAGCGGATGCCTATCTGCGCTTTATGTCCTTAACAACGAAAAGAGACGCCAACGTCGACGGAATGGAACCCACCACAAACTCACAAATGGACCCCAAGATGAACCCGTTGCCATTTTTTTGGCGTGTGGGTGTGCGCGCGTGTTTTTGGAGTTGGTACATGTATATATACCCCCCTTCCTGCTTGGTTTGAAGGGACATTTGGGTCCCCCTGTTTCGAGACGTACTCACACATACACACACACACACACACATTTGCACCCTTTTTGGTCACTGGTTTCCCATCATAAAGTGGCTGATTAACCAATGTGCTAGGGGTTCATAGCAGAGGTTCATCATACATCGGGTTGTACATGTGTAGGTTCCATGTGATACGCTTTTTTGAACAGAGGTTGCTTTTCCCTGAAGAACCCGCGTTCGGAGTGCAACCTTTCCCTTGATTTTGACGGACAACGTGGCCCAATAAACTCGATTTGGAGGTTTCTCTGACAGAACAGTTAGCAACTGACCAGATTGGTACATGGGGTGGGGGGTTTAGACCATTCAATTGTCCAATGGTTGTAAGGAAACGAGGGGAACCCTCTAAAACCCAAAGTAAAGTGCTTCGTGGTTGGTTTGCAGCTTGCAAAAACGGCTCCAAACTTTTTCCGCCTGATCAACCCCTGGTCCTGTTGAGATATGTGTGGTAAAATGGAGTCAACTTGTCATGTTTAGACTTCACGCAGCTTTCGGCTCAGCGATCATTCACATTGGCAATATGCCGCGCGGTGAAGCATGGCACAAAGTATCCAACAAGCGGAAGCCAACAGGAAGGCCAGTTGAAAGGGACGCCAAAAAGGAAAAAAACAGATGCTCTTTCAACAACGAGCTTCCTTAGAGGCAACACCATGTCTTCAAGAATCAAGGATCCTCGCCCAATTACTTTCTGGGACAACTGGAGAGCTTTCGATATTCTGCGCATGGTTCAGAAGCGGGATCTGAACCCTTCATTTCCCCTTTTTTGAAGGTTTCAAAGATGGTTTGTTTGGGTTTGCGATAGATTAGCTTCCTTTGGGGTTGATGTGGTGACATTTGTAGGCTGGACATATGACAATGAATGTAAATGGGGAACCCCCTCAAAAGCGTTTGGTGGAGAGACATCCCCATCTAAACGGTGCCCACCGGAGGGTCCCAATGCAAACCACGCAAACCCGTACCATAGATCTCTTGCCGTTTGCCCCTTGCCGCGTCATGCGGCAATGCAGAGCGGGTTTGAGCCGCTGGCCGCAGAGGTGAAGCCCTTGCTGCTGCATGAATCGGTGGAGCTGCTGATGCAGGTTGGAGGAGTCCAAACGTCTCGCAGTTTGAGGCGTTCGGAACCTCGGCTTCCTCAAGTCCCAGACTTCAGTCCCTGGAAGAAACCAATCCAGCTACCTTGAGGTGCCACGTTAGAAGGGAGGGTAACAAAGGTTGAGGTTGCTGGTTTCTTCATGATTTGAATCAAGGCCGGAAAAGTTTAGACTTGAGGAGGAATCTCCCGTTCCAATGCGGTTTTGGGGGAAGGTTTCGGGCAGGTTGATTTGCAGGGAGGTATTTGTCGCAATATCTTTTCCTGTAGGAAATGCCAGGAACTTGCCTGAGGCAAACTTTCAGGACCAAGGAGGGGACGCGTGGCCCTTGTTTTGTGTTTTGCAGTTCACTCTTTGCCAGGTTCGGAAGAGTTCCATGACTTCCGATGCAACAGTAACCGAATGTGGAATACAGGGCTTCACGTCTGTTCGATCGAAAGGAAGGGTGGCTCCTGGAGATGGCTTTGAAGGTAGGGATGGTTGGGAGCGTGTCATGGCACGTTCAGCTTAATTGCGGGAACGAACGGTCCCAGGCCAATGTTTTCTCTGACCTGCGGTGGCAAACTGACCTGAGAGAGTCAAATGAGACTGGGTTTTCGAGCGATCTTCAATTTCCTATTCAAAGGACTCACATTTGGCCCTACTTCCCTTTTGAGTTGGCACACTTCTCTCGCTTATTTTGGGTGTTGTCACCGTTGTCAAGGCTCGGCAAGTTCGAGCTTTTCCTGACCCAACCGGGCAGTGAAGTACTTGAATTACGGGAATCTGCTGAGATCGGACTTGAATTGCTGGCTTGCTCTAGAGCCATCTCAATATTGCAAGGGAATAAGTTGGAAGCCCATGGAAATCCTGTAACTTTGACGCAGTTGGTGCACTTGCAATATTTGAGAAATCAGCTGTGCAAAAGAGAACTGTTTGGGGCTGTACCAAAGCCGAAAGGAGGCCTCCCAAGTTTTTCCATGACAAGGGACCCCTGCAATGGTGGGTCTCCGTTTGGTTCCTCGCAAGCAAATTTAGTTCCCTGCTTCCTTTCAACAGCCAGAAGGTGTTGCCGGCAGAGTTGGGCAACGTTTTCCTCACACATCCCAGTTTTTGGGGTAAAGCAAAGGATGGTTGTTCAAACAAGCTGGCAGACTTGTTCGTTTTGCCTTCAGGACCTGCCGCGGTGTATGTGGACGGATCCTTTGGCCAGGGAGGCGAGCTTGAGGGAAGCGAAAAGGACGAAGTGCCTTCAGGGACCTCTACAAAAAGGGACCGCACATGTGTGTTTTTTTTGACCTCTTCAAACATGTGCGAAACCGCCAGCTTTTCAACGTGCCTAAGCCTGAGGGCCAAGGTCAAGTGCAGAAAAGGCCAAGTTAGAGGGGCTTACCCAAAATCCGTGTGACAATTGCATGGATGCAGAGGTGATGTTGGGGATGTGAAATGAGCTAATGAAACAATCCATGCTTATGGGAACCCGTGGACAGGTCTCCTGGACAAAATGCACTTGGCACATGTGAAACTCGATCTGAATACTGACTAACCACCAGTTCCTGCATCCGGATTTTGACCATCCAAGTGGTCCCGAGTTTGGGCAAATGAGAGCATCTTTTTGTAGAATCGCTGGTTTCCCTTTAGAATCGCCAAACAAAGGGGGTGCCCTCAAGACACAGCCCACTGATCCCCATCGGGAGAAAGCCGCAGGGCACTCGGCGGAGATCTTGCGGCACCTGGCGCCGGAGGGGCGCCTCGTGGCGCTGGACGTGAACCAAAAGGCCGAGGCAAGAGGAACAGAGAAGCAATGTGTGTATGTAGACATATATGTATATACATATGTATGTATAGATTATATATATATATATATTTACACATGTATATAGAATATATACATATATATATATATACTTATATATATATATGGTACCCCCCCAAAACAAAAACCCACCTGTTTGCAGAATTCACGGGTATTTCCAGTGAATTTAGCGTTTTTTGGGGGTCTGAAAACGACGCAACAAGGGCAATTGCTCAGGACGTTTCATGCTTTGGCAAACTCTCAAAAAAAAGAAAGAAATCGGAAAACCAGACTCTCTGAGGGAAAGGTAGCTGGAAACCGGAAAAAAAACCGAAAAACAAAAAAATACGAAAAACAACAAACAACAGACAAAAAACAGAAACACATACTCTTTGAGGTAGCTGGCAGACATTCTCCCACACGAGTATGGTTTTTCGTTTTTTTCTTCTTCCTCGGTTTTCCTGCTTGTCTGATCTAGCAAAACCACATCTGCCAAGTAGGCTTCTTCAGGTCTCAAGCTCAATCTGTCTGACTTCCTTTTTGTTTTATGATATTGTTTTCATTCACTGGCTTAAACATGTAATCATCAAGGCTTAGGAATCTAGTATTTATTATTTGGAATTAGTATCAGTCCTTATAAGAATGTAATTATATTCATCAGGAAATAGATAGGATTGTATACCTCCATAAAATCATAACTTCTATAGTATAAGATTGCATTGCTTTCTTATGATCTTCTTTTCAGAAATGCCTGTCTTGTTTAGGATTTCGAAGTTATGTTGTAGCTTTCAAGGATCTCCAGAAGTGGTATATCCTAGAGTTAGTAACTGTTTCCATCATAATTCTTTTGCTTTCACATCTTGTCTTAACCCTTTCTTTAACCTCAGAATTTGGAGGTGGTACAGGATGGACATTGATTCCACCATTATCCACTTATTTTATGCCTTCATCACCTTCAAGTACTGGTATTCCAGTGAATTTTGGCCTTTTTTTGGGGGTCTGAAAAAGACGCAAAAAAAGGGCAGTTCCAAGGGCAATTACTCTCTGGACGTTTCATGCTTTGGCAGACCCTCAAAGAAAAGAAAGAAATCGGAATCCAGACTCTTTGAGGGAAAGGTAGCTGGAAACTCAAAAAACCGAAAAAAGAACCGAAACAACCAAGAAAATAGGAAAAACCATACTCCCTGAGGGAAAGGTAGCTGGCAGACATTCTCCCACAGGAGTATTGTGTTTTTTTGTTGTTGTTTCCTCTGATTTTTTTGTTTTTTAAGCGGTTTTCCTGCTTGTCTGATCTAGCAAACCATATCTGCCAAGTAGGCTTCTTCAGGTCTCAAGCTCAATCTGTCTGACTTCCTTTTGGTTTTATTATATTATATTCATTCATTGGTTTAAACTTGTAAGGCTTAGGAATCTAGCAAATCCTGCAGTGGATCTAGGATTACATGACACATATCATGTTGTAGCACATGTTCATTGTGTTCTTGCTTTAGGAGCTATAATTGCTATCTTCTCTAGAATTATCTTCAATGGAGAATAGATTGTTGGTACTAAGAACTGATTACTTTCATCCTTATGTACACACACACACTCTCGCTCGCTCGCTCGCTCGCTCGCTCTCTCTCTCTCTCTCTCTCTCTCTCTCTCTCTCTCTCTCTCTCTCTCTCTCTCTCTCTCTCTCTCTCTCTCTCTCTCTCTCTCTCTCTCTCTCTCTCTCTCTCTCTCTTTTTATCATTGCAATTTAATATTCATGGCTAAGGTTCTTGCCTTTTCTCCAATGTATGTTATGCCAAGAAGAATCCCATCCTTTCTAGATTCTGTTCATTCCCCCCACAGATCAACAAATTTTATTTTTATTTTTTGGCATATATATATATATATGTATATATATAGATATCATATATATATATGTGTAGATGCTACCCCCCGGATGGATCTACCTCTTTGCCGTTTGAAGGCCTTCTTGGAGGTAGAATGCAGTTGTTTTACTTGGATTGCCCCATACGACTTGACCAGCATCAGCTCACCCTAAGCAAGGAAACCCTCTTCAAAGTCTAGTTTGGAATAACAAGTCCAATTATTTGTTTTCCTTTGAAAAGGAACTCCTATTCAAATTGTCTTCAAAGTTAGATAGTTCTAATAGAATTCTTTCCTTGTTAGATTCCATTTAAGTTGTAGATAGAAAATGGAGAAGCAACATCCTGGGCAAGGAAGTTCTCTTTCAAATATATTTTGAAGTAATAATGCCAACCAACAACATTCTTTTAAAGGAAATCCTATTCAAATCGTCTTAAATTCCAGAAACTTTCTTTTTGGTTTTGTTCACTTTTAATTTCTATTTGAATTCTACTTAGAAAATTGAACAAGTCATTTTGAAAGCGAACATTCCTTTGAACATCTAATTTGACATACGAGTTCTAAAGAATAAAGCATATATTTGAATTCTCTTTAAACTGGAAATTATACTAGAATTACATCCTTTACTAAATTCTATTTAAGCTATGACAAACAAATACAACTCGCTTGAACAGCTAACTTCAATCAATAATTTTGACTACAAATCTTCTTTGCAAAGGAAATCCTATTCAGCTCTCTTTAACTAGAGACTCTACTATCTACTTTGTTACTTTCCTGAGTAAATTCTATTTCAATGTTAATTAGAACATTGAACAAACAAACACCTAGCAAAAGACACCCATCTAACTTCGTCATTAAAACAATGTTGACACAATAATTCCAATTGAAACTTATGTAAATCCTTATCGAATCCTTGTTGAATTCTAAGCAGAAAGCTATAGCAAGTCAAAAGCAGTGAGCTTATCGAACAGAATTCACTGAAAACACATCTACGAGAACTAAGCCCGATTCCTGTAAGTGAGTTAATGAACCCTAAACCCTACACCCTAAGCCTGTCAATTGCAAGCTGAGGTTTGATCAAGGGATGCAAACACAATAGCTATATTGGAGCCAGAAGTGAAAAAGGAAGGACCTAATACGGTAAAATCATGGAGCCAATGGCTCAACATTAAAAAATGTAAAGAAGTAAAGGAGTAAAAAGCAACATTCTGGAGCCAACTACCCAAAAGGAAAAAATAGAGAAGTAAACAAGTAGAATAGTTTTATGTAAAAACCAGGAGCCAATGACCCAAAAGTAAAGAAAATGCAGTAAACATGTAAAATAAACGGTAGACACCGTAAAACAAAGTAACACATTTCGGTCCTAAAGTAAAATGCTCTGGCCATGGACTTTTTTCTTTTTATTTTTTTGTTACGTTTTTACCTTCTTGTTTTAATATATATATATATAAAATACAAATGACACCATAATAATAAATAAATATGTTTTTGCCTTTTCACTTTTGGATCACTTACTCCTGAATTTTACTTTTACTTTTTCACTTGTTTACTTTTTTCCTTTTGGGTCATTGGCTCCAACATAGCTGTTGTTTTGCATTTTCTGACAAGGTCTCAGAGTAGAAACAGGACAGAGGTAGATCCAAATCGACTGAAGCTTCATTCGGCATGGATTCAAGATTCCCTGGCAAGGTTTAGCCTGAAGCTTCCAGTTTGTCTTTGAACATGCGCCATTTTTGGCTGCTGTCCCGAAAGTTCCAATTCAGTCAGAACACACTGCAAATACCGGTGAATTCTGAAGGAAGGTTGGTCCATGGGGTAGGCACCATATATATATATATATAGAAATGTATATATATATATATCATAGCCAGTATTTGATTATTATTCTGATTCTCATTGTCTTTTTGTGGCTAGTACGTGTGGGTGTGTCTCAAACAAAATGGGGACCTGAAACATAGTGGGGTTTCGTAAGGGTTTCTCTTTAATTCAACCCCAAAGACAGTAGCCTGAAAACAAAGACCCATGTTTGGTCCGTTTTGGGCTCCGCATCACAGCAGGGTCCGGATAAACCAGGTCTTCGGATTTGGGCTGAGTGACCAGTGAAGTTGCCAGGAAGTCGTTTTGCTCGCTTTCGGCAGGCGGCGCGGTCCCTTTCAGACGCACGGCTGCGCTTTGTCCAGCGGTCCTGCCGGGACTTGTGCCAGCTCTTCGGGGAAGAGGACCCATGGCCTTCAAAACACCACCGTTTTTTTTCCCACCCGACAGGAAGGGGTTATGTTGCAATCCGCGTTTGCGATGCTTCTGCACCACGCCCCCACCCAGTGTCCCGCCAGAGCAGCTCGCCAGCCGAGTATCCTATCAGAGCTGCTCGCCAGTGGATCCCGCCGAGTATCCCGCCAGAGCGGCTCGCCATTCGATCCCGCCGAGTATCTCGCCAGAGCGGCTCGCCAGTAAATCCCGCCAAGTATCCGCCAGAGCGGCTCGCCAGTGGATCCCGCCGAGTATCCCGCCAAGTATCCCAGAGTAGCTCGCCAGTGGATCCCTAGCTTGCCAGCGTATCCCGCCGAGTATCCCGCTGAGTATCCCTTGCTGGTATATCGTGCCGAGTATCTGGCCAGTATCGAGCCGGAGTGGCTCGCCAGCATTTGCCAGTGGATCCCGCCAGTATCTCGCCAGAGCAGCTCGCCAGTCTGGTTTTGCTTAATCCCGCCCGTTGGTGCCTTCGTGTTTTGAGTGTGCCCTGAGGCTCGGAAAGGGTGATGCTTTTGGGTTGCTTTGGGTTGTGAATAAGCAACTTCGTTTAATCCCCCGCCGGGTTTCTTTTTGGAAGGGGCTTGGCTTTGCTAAAGGAGCCGCTGTTTGAGTTCTCGAGATCGGAATGCAAAGCTTGTTGAGCAGTCATAGGCCCCAAGGGTAGTAGAACCACCCTGCTAGAATTGAGAGTTTTGGGAAGTTTTTTATGGGCAACCCTATGCAAACCACTAGGAACCCAAAGCCGATTTTGAGGGTTCCAGTTCCTCATGTGACACAGACCCATATTCTGGTGGGTGTTCGACTTGTTGGATCGGAACTCACGCTGATCGCTTACAAAGGGCCACCAATGTGGACAAGCCCATCTGAACAAATTGCAACGAGCTGAAAAAAGTACTGCGCTTTGAGCAATCCCACCCTCCACACTCACGAGCTTACGACCGTGAACACGGTTGTGTGAAGTCAAACATGAAGCATGGTCTTCGAGTTTGCGTAAAGCTTGTTTTTCTTTATGGCCATTTTTGTTGGCCCCGAAGTAAAATGGGTTTGGTCGCTGCGCATATGAGGTCACTTGCAAGTCTAAGTCAGGCCAAGCGGGCTCCTCCTTAGGCTGGAGAAAATGCGGGGCGTAGGAAACGGGGCTGTCGTTTGTCTTAGTGCGAAAAGGGCGCATCTCATTCTGAAGGCACCAGCCATAGCTGACCTTTTCGGTCAGCTTGAACATAGTCGGCGCTGGTTCCGCTGGGATCACAATTTGCCCATTGCGACGTCAGCCATAAGGCTCCTTTCATATTTCATAGAGGTACCTTGCCAGATTGCTGTTAATCTTGTGTTGAAAGGGGATGGCCTCCAGCCCTGATGGACTTCGAGTCCACATGCACCAGTTGGTCAGGTGGATCAACCAGTCAAATCGAGTTTCAACTGAGCGCCCGAAACCCCACTGGCCAACTTAGTTGGTTCTGCAGTACCTGGTTGAATTGGGGCTATTAGTAAAGGCAACAATTGGGTGAGTCCTTTTCCCCAATATGGTGGTTTGCCTTTAACTCGCAAAAGCTACCTGCATCACCATCTAGAACATTTACAGACTTATTTCTTCGGAGCATTTCTCAGGAGCCGGCTGGCGTCCTGCTGGACCTGAGCGTCCAGCTCAGCGCGCAAGAGGAGCTTTCAGCGTGGGTCTGGGGGCAAAAGCTACAGTACGAGAATTTGTAGTTTCATGGGATGACTTGTTTGGCACATTCACCAAACTACCTACTAGCAGGAAATAGTAGTACTCAGATTCCACGTCTTTTTGGGGGACACCATGTTGTTTGACCGTGGCTCAAATGGAAGCCAGACATCTTTGGTCCACAAGCCAAAGCCCTTCAAGGGGCTTACGTAACGAGTGTAGTTTTTTGGTTGGCAGCAGAGCGCCGAGATCCAACACAATCCTTGCGAGGAGACAATTTGTGATTTTTCCACACCTTGTACTTGGCTGTACCCAGGCACCCCCTTTCCGGTAATCCATAAACTAAAGCCACCAAACAAACACGACCAAACCAAGACACCAAGCCAAACCATCAAACCACAACCGCCAAATCCAATCAACAAACCAAGCCACCAACCCACCAACCAAGCCACCAACCAGGCCCCCAAGCCAAGCCAAGCCACCAAACCACAACCACGAAATCAATCACCAAATCACCCTGAGGTTTCAAGGGACACAAACTTCCCCCTGCCCTTTACGAGGTCAGCATATATGCAAGAGACTACCCCTTCGCAAGGTCATGAACTATGAACTGTTCAGGGAGTCTTGGCAACCAAGGATCTGCGTCAAACTATGTCCCAATGAAGTTCGCTACGTCTCATCCTTAGAGCAATAGAATCATTATTTGGTGCTGCGGACTAACGTGGAACCCACAAATTGCAACCCATTTTAGGAGTTTGTCTTAGCCGCTTTTTGGGTTCCTTCCGTTTAATTCTGTTCCCGTTGAAGCCCTAGGTATGGCATTGAGTGAAGTGCAGAGCTTCTTGGAGCATGCCATGTGGGTGAGCTTGTCACAAGTGGAGCTCAAAATTCGCAAGCTTGACAATTCACATCAATACATATATACATTTTTTGGTGAGGTACCCTTTTTGGCGTCAAAAGGAAGCCGAGCGAACACAGCCAATTTTTCAGGTCCCATATTGACACCATCCCACATGCTCTAACACACCTTTGTCCCCAAAGCCGGTTGAAACAAGGTATGTCTTTCTCTTTTGCTTTCTTGGTTTTTTCCCCAGATAGCCTATAGCTGCAAGCTATAGGGGTTCTACATTCTAATAAAGAGGGGAAAGTGAGTGACGGCTGGGTGCCGGTCTGTGGTGCTGGTGTAGGGGGGGGTGCTGTTTGGAGATTGCTAGACGGGTTCTCTGGAGGTGCTGCGCTTCGGGGGGTGTTGTTAGAGGTGCTGGTGTGCAACCATTGGCCTGATTTTGGCTATCTGGGGTCTATGCTGGCGTATCTTTGAAAGGGACACTCACCACTTTGTTCCTTTTTTCTTTTAACTTAGGTGGTTGGGGGTTCCAACAACAAGACACACCCACCAATCTTCAACCAAAAACGAGTACTTGGAACCCTTCGGTTCGATGCAACGCCCGGCGGTTTCCTCGAGAGGAGCGCGCCAAAGGGCTGAGCTTTCAGGCGGACGCGTTGGACGGGCGCCTCACGCCCTGGGCGCGGCGGGCGGACGAGTGGCTAAAGCAGGTCCGCGCCAGGGAAGGACGTCGACCGATTCAGAAACCGATTCAGAAACTATTTCGCCCGATTCAGAAACTATTCTCTTTTCCGATTCAGAGTCTTCTCTCCCGATTCAGAAACTATTTTCTCCCGATTCAGAAATTATTCTCGTGCGGTTCAGAAACTATTTACATTGCCCTGGCACATGGTAAGCACACGCGGTCAAGGCACCCGCTCAGCTCTGCACACATGCCTGGCACATGGAAAGCACACCCGCTCAAGCGCACTTGCTCAGCACTGCACACATGCCTGGCACATGGAAAGCACACCCGCTCAAGCGCACTTGCTCAGCACTGCACACATGCCTGGCACATGGTAAGCGCACCCGCTCAGGTGCACCCGCTCAGCACTGCGCGCATGCCTGGCACATGGCACGCGCACCCGCTCAAGTGCACCCGCTCAGCACTGCACACATGTCTGGCACATGGTCAGCACACCCGCTCAAGCGCACTCGCTCATGCCTGGCACATGTAAGCACGCCCGCTCCAGTGCGCCGCCTCGCACATGGTAAGCAACCCGCTCAAGCGCGCCCGCTCTGCACGCATGCTTGGCACATGGTATGCTCCAGACTAGAAAGTCGGGACTGGCAGCTCCAGATTGCCATTTGTTTCTGAATATTCGTTTGCAAATTCCAGTTTCCGAATCCCCTGCTTTGGCAAGCCTCACCCCAAAACCACACGCCCGCTCAGGGGCAAAAGAAAAAGAGGGAACCAAATCCCAAAAGAAACCAAGAAAGACCAGTTGCCCTTTTTCGCTATAATTTTTAATGTGAAACGTGTATGTGGTCGTCCGAGCCTGCAGCAGCACTCGCATCCTCCATAGTCAAGGGAAGTTTAGAAGGAACTTCTGTGGTACGCCAACTAATTACAGTAACAGCTACAGTAGCTCTCTGTGTCGATGACAAGAGAAGAACAAGCGGGGGGATTCAATGCGTGAAAAATGAGGCGCGAGTTGCGGGGGAAAAGACCGCAACGCAATCCAACCATGCCAGCGATTGTCCCCACACCCAGAAATGCCTGATGGAAAACAAGTCCTGTCTGCAAAGTTCTCTCCGAAAATTATCTGCGCAAATTTCTAGACACTGTGCAAGATGCTCTGTGCAAGTTGGTCCAAGGCCTCCCAAGAAGCCTTCGCGATGCTTTCGGCAAAAAGAGAGAACCAAATCCCAAATATGGCTGTAAAAAAAAGAAAGAGCATTTGTCAAAAATGATGTACTCGCACTGCCCAAATAGTTCAAGTCCAAGAACGAGTAGTCGTCACTCTCCTTTTTCAGCGCTTTCGGCTGCCTCGAACAAGGGCAGCGCTGCAGGAGTCCTGCGTTGTGGAAAACAGCCTGCTTAAGTGAGTGGAAGGCCATCTGTTTGGATGAGCCAAGTACGAAAAATTAGGACGGTGTCCTGAAGTCTCAAGACAAAAGGAAAATTGGGCGCTTCGACCCTTGCCGACACGAAAGTTATTTGAGGGAGTGTCTTTGACGTTGTTCCAGGCTTCTCGGCGTTGTTTGGGTTTCCGGGCAAAAAAAGAGAGGTGTTTATTTGAGACAATGGCAAAATATTGACGCTTGTGGCAAAACCAAGCGACCTTTTGCACCTGACCTACCTGTGACATGAAAGATGAGAGAAAAGCCACGGTACGAATAGCGATGTCCCAAACATCCATTTGTGAGACCTTGTTGGGAGATGGCTTGGTTTGCTTCAGGCCGCCTCCCGGTTGTCGGACCCAAAGGTGCTGGTGACGGTGTCCTGAACTGGGACTCCATGGGGCGCGGCTGAAGCCCAATCAGCCCCAGCTTCTTGCACGGCTCGAGCGGCCGGGCTTCCTTCTGCAGCCTGCGAATGTAATCCAAAAACACCCACCACTAAAACAAACTTTGGAGTCCCCGGCCTTTTGAACCAAAATGTGCCTGATGGGGGACATGGTTATGGTTGTCGTGGAAACAAGCGGATTTTCTGTGATACCAAAGTGGAATTCCCATCCACAAACTTCCCGTTCAAGACGATTCCCTGGGTGTCACATCGAAATCTAGGCAGGGCCTTTTCCAAGGCTCATGGCACTGCAGTCATGCCCAATGCTCCAGGCTTGATTTCCCACGTGCCAAGGCCCAGGCACATGCAAGAGGGCGACTTTGGCCCTGGGATTCCGAGCCACCTCGTGGGCGGAAGCTCGAATGGGCTCGCCTGAGCCGCGCCAGGACACTCGGGCGCTTCCTTTGGACAAAACAAGCGGGTCACTTGTGGGGTTCCTTTTCTTGGAAGGTCGCTCAAAAGAAGTTGACTTTGGAAAGTGTGGGTTTCCTTTTGGTGTACAAAAGAAGGGAAAAAAGTTGGAACGCTTGTGAAGCAAGTAAGGATCACTTTAAACAGTGGGGGGGGGGCCGGGGGGGGTCCTTTGGTTTCAATATTACAGATCATCCAAAGGCTAGAAATCACTTGTGTAATGGCACTCGGAAACGTCTGCTTTTGGTGTCCACATCAAAGATCTGTAAGAAGGGATGGAACAGGTTTGCAATGAAAAGGATCACATGTTACAAATGGTCCAAAAGGAGTGGAGCACTTATGAAATGAGCAAGGATCGCGTTGAAAAGTGAGGGATTCCTTGTGGATTCCATATTCAAGATCATCCGAAAGAGGTTGGATCGCTGGTGATATGACAAATGGCTTTGAAAAGTGTGTGTGTGTGTTCTTTTGCTTTCTAGAAAAGAAAAAAATCGCAAAGGGGTTGGATCACGTGTGAGATGAAAAAGGATCACTGCACAAGGTGTAGGGTCTCTTTTGGTGTCAGTTTTAAAGATCATCCAAAACAGGAGCGAATCACTGTTGAAATGAAACAGGATCACTCTGAAAAGTGTGGGCTTCCTTCGGAGTCCAGAATAAAACTCAACCAAACACGGGTTGGTTCACTTTGGGATTGAAAAAGGATCACTTTGAAAAGTGTGGGTGTCCTTGTGCTGTTCACATTAAAGAGCATCCAGGATCAATTTGCAACGGGGTTTCTGTTGATGTCCATATTAGACATCATCCAAAAGGGGGTTGGATAACTTTGGAACCAAAAAGCACCACTGTGAAAAGTATGAAAACCCGTTCGGTTTCCAGCATCCAAAAACGGCTGGCTCACGTGTAAAAATGAAAAAGGATCACATTGCAAAGTGTGAGTTCGTTTCGGCTTCATAGAAAGTCATCTCACAGGGTTTGGAGCACGTTCAAAGTGAAAAGGGAAAAGTGTGGGCTTTGCTTTGGTGGTGGGTGTCCCTTTGGTATCCAAACAACGCGAAAGAGGTAGGAACAACTGTGAAATAATAGGCATCCAGAGTGGAGAAAGTCCAAAAGAGGGTGGGTCACGTGTGAATTGTGGGTGTGTGTCCTTTTGGTGTCCATATTGAACACTATCCAAGAAGGGGTGGATCACGATAAATGACAAAATCACTTTGAAAAGTACGAGTGTCCTTGTGGTTTCTACATTCAGGAGCATCTAACAAAGGTTACAGCACGTTTGCAAGCAACAAAGCTCACTTTGAAAAGTATGGGTTCCCTGTAAAATTAAAAGGCCCGCTGTGAAAAGCGTGGGTGTCCGTTTGGTTGCAATACTTAAGATCAGCAAAAACGGGGTTGGAGTATTTGTGCAACTAAAGAGCCACTTGAAACGGTGTGGCCAGCTAAAGGGCGCTGGCTCGGATCACGTTGACAGGCAGTGTCTGTATTTAAAAAAAGGGGTTGGAGCACTTATGTAATAAAAGGATCACTTTGAACAGTGTGGGTGTCCTGTTGGTTTCAATATCAAAGATCATCCACAAGAGGGGTGCGGATCACTTGTGTAGTGAGAAAGGATGGCTTTGAACATTGTGGGCCTCTGTTTGGTTTTCATATGAAAGATCATCCAGCAGGTTGAAGTACGGTTAAAAAGAAGGGGGTGGATTAAAAGGAAGGGGGGTGGATTAATTGTGTGTAATGAAAACAGTTCGCTCATGGGTTCCTTCTGGTTTCTGTACTAGGTATACATGTGTATATATATATATATGTATTTATTTAAATGCAAACATATGGACATACACATGCTAATACATGTCCCGCCCTGAGATAAGGGACCTTCATCGGAGTTTTCGGGCTCGAAAACGATATTGCATTTTAGATAGGGCTCGAATCGTCCGTGCCCTTGTTTACATCGAGCTGCAGAGTTGGCGGCAGGCGTAAGGCAAGTCCGTGCTCGCGAGGGGCCAAAGCTCCACCAAGCGCCTGGACCGAGTTCAGCACTTTACTATTCCCACTACGAATACGACTACTACTACTACTACTACTACTACTACTACTACTCCTCCTCCTCCTCCTCCTCCTCCTGCTGCTGCTGCTGCTGCTGCTGCTGCTGCTTCTACCACTACTACTACTGCTACTAAGTGCTACTACTACTACTACTACTACTACTACTACTACTACTACTACTACTACTACTACTACTACTACTACTACTACTACTACTACTACTACTACTACTACTACTACCAATCCCCTGGAGCATGCCAACATTGAAACTGACAGGGGGTAGATTCATAGTGAAGAGTTTGAAATAGAAAAATGGGCAACAAGGAAACTCCAAAACCACATCGAACCAAATCACATCGAAACAGGTCGGTAGAAATGGTGCAGGGGCTTCTGATGAGCGACACTCCTCGGAAAAGGTGGTGGGCTTCTCAAATCGTTTTGCCAAGAATCAGTACACTCCAAAAGTTCAAAGGGTTTTAATCTGCCCAGCCGGGCTTTGAGGCTGTGATGCAGGCTCATCCGGCTTCTTCGCGTCCCAAAAAGCATGTTGAAAGATAACCAAAAAGCAAAGTGCCCTATCAGTTGTGGGGCCCCGCTTCCCTTTTTGGGCTCGGATCTGGGTGCCAGAGTTTCGTCAGGATGACTTGCCCAGTGGCATAGGGGACTTCAAGGGGTCCTGAGCCTGGGCATAGGGGACTTCCGAGCGGTTTCCATTTCGTTCCCATAACCGCTGAAGGGTGCGCTTTTTCTCACAACCATTTTGACCCGCCTTCCCGCCCTTGCCTTCGGACATTTTGGCCCACCCTTCGCCACTGGGGTGTGTCTCAAAATTCTGACTCCCGAAATGAGATGTGGTCCATTTGTCTTCCCTTTGAACCAGACGTAAAAACAAAAGACCATCACGTTTTGGGGCCATGACTCGACCAAAACTGTTCTCAAATCAAACGGTCCGTTGGGCCGATTCGCTTTGGGCAAGTGAGTCAAAGCAACATGATGGACATAATGTGGATGGACAAAATCCGGCACCAATTGGATTGGTGGGTGGTTTATTCCTTTATGTATAGGGTTTCATCTATCCCAGTGGTGTGAAGCGCATTTTGTCCACCCGCAGTAGGACGGAAAGTTCACTTCCCTTGAATCTCAAGGGGCGTCCTGGGAAACAACGCGACCAATGGTGCAAATGGGGCTGCCCATTTTTGAGGGCCCCCTTTTCTTAATAGTCTTGAAGGAACACCAAAAAGGAAAGCACCACTTTGGGAGGGGGGGGTTCTCTGAAAAATGACACACCCAAATCAGCAACCGATTTTGGTCGGCCTGGGCGTCACAAAGGCCGCAAAGCGCAGGTCCGGGGCCTCGTGCTCCCGCAGAAAGCGCTTCACCTGAAAGCAGGAGGCGGACCTCAAACAAAACTGGGGTGGTAGAAAGACCCTGCTTTTTCTGGTTGTCCAAGTTTCAAGTTTGTCAATTTTGGGAACATAGATGGCCCTGGTAGATAATGAAACAACCAGGTCAACCAGGGCCATCTACTGTCTAACAAAACAACCAAAAAGGACACCTGTGTGTCCAAGTTTTAAAAGGTTTGACAAATGAGGTTCTGCTGTGGGTTGAGTCGGACGTGTCAACTCAGCGTGCTTGATGAGTGTCAACTTCCATCAGGCCGGCAAGAGTTCCTCCCAAAACTTGTTGGTTCTCAGTCAGTAAGGAATCAATAGGGGGATTCCAAAAAACCACTGGATCCCCTGGAAAAGCATAAGGAATGGCTCATGGGTCCCTGCTGAGAACCAGGAAGGAAAGGACCATAGACCTTCACATCAATCCAAATCAAACCAAAACAAAACAAAAACAAACCAAGTCAATTCAAGCCAACGAACCAGCCAAGCAGCAAAGTAGCCAAGCAACTAAGCAACCAACCAACCCAACCCAACCCAACCCAACCCAACCCAACCCAACCCAACCCAACCCAACCCAACCCAACCCAACCCAACCAACCCAACCCAACCCAACCCAACCCAACCCAACCCAACCCAACCCAACCCAACCAACCCAACCCAACCCAACCCAACCCAACCCAACCCAACTAGCCCAACCCAACCCAACCCAACCCAACCCAACCCAACAACCCAACCAACCCAACCCAACCCAACCAAACCAAACAACCAAATCAAAACAAAGCAAACCAGTCAAATCAAATCAAAATTTAAACACATATGTTCCAAATCAACGTCAAATCAAATCAATCAACCAATGAATCTATGAATCAACGAATCAATGAATCGATAAATCAACGAATCAATGAATCGATGAATCAATGATGCAATGAATCAATGAATCAATGAATTGTTTGCCACTTTAATGGTCCAAGCCCGAACAACCCGAAAAGTGGTTAAAGCCTAGGAACTCGGGGAGTGAGTCGAAGAAGTTCCGGGCCTCGGAGGCCTCCTGGCGCCGAAGAGTGATCACCACGAGGCGGCCCTTGCAGCGCAGCGATTTCAAGGCGCTGCACAGGGCGGCGCGGAGCTCGCGGATCTCCTAACTGGCGAAGTGAGGGCTGGGGCTTTTGGAGGGTAGCGAGTTGTGGCCGGGGGAGGGGGGAGGGGCGAGGGGGGCATCAGCACTGTGTTCTTTCTACGTACCCCAAATGTTGGCGACAGGCTTTTGAAACTTAACCAACTGCCCAGCAAAGCAGTGTTTCGAATAGTCGTCGTCTTCGTTCAGGGTCATCATTTTCTGAATTTCTTATTGCATGGAGTTCAAATGTCCCACTAACCACCCGTGGTGAGGCTGTATTCGACACCCCCGCATCACCAGTGACTTGTGTAAAGGAAATGTTCTCCGCTTACTAAATGTACATGTCGCGATAGTTTGTAGACAAAGTGGTCGACACCCCCAGCATCACCAGTGTTTTACGTAGATGTTGTAGATAAAGGGGTTCAAGGGAACATCCCAAAACAGGGAAATATAGCAGGCCCTGCGAAAGTGGCCCTGTAAACAACAATGACAACCTATGACAGATTCCCTATGCTGAAAGTGGTTGGGGTCGGTTGCACTGGGCGGCAGCCCGTAGATATGTACATCTATCTAATATATATATATGTACATATATATATATATATGTATATACACATGTGTATTGCTGTTTCTCAGTAAGGATCCAACAAGAGCTTTGGAAATTAACCCAAGAGCACAAAGGGGACCCTTGTTGAGCCTTTGGGCGTGTCTCTTCTTAGAGGTCCCCAAAAATTATGGTTTTCCTGTTGGTGTCCCTTTGAAGCCACATATATTGGGTACCCTCAAAAAACGACACACCCATTTGTCAAACCAACAGGTCCAGGGGCTTTTGCGGTCACAGCCAGCCCTCGCCTCATTGAGGTGCACACGGATTGCCTGGAAGATCTGTTTGGCCGGGTGCAGCCCCCGGTCGTCCACGATCTTCACCTGAGTCAAAAAGACCCCAAAAGCAAAACTCAAATAATTTACCCAAATTGTATTTAAAACAAAAATGCTCCCAAACCTTGGCTTTGGAAGCAGCTAAGCAAAACATGTTTGGCTTCCCAGCAACATGGGACATTCTTCCAACCCCGAACCTGTATGTTCACAAACGTTTAACCGAGCAAACCGTGAACTTTTTGGGATCAAGCTTGAAGAACTATTGCTGTTTTTGTGTCATTCACTTCGCTCGCGCAACCTCTGCGGACTCTAGGGCGGACGACCTTCAAAAGTGTGTGGGGTGGAGAGAGGGACAGAGAGACAGATAGATAGAGAGAGAGAGAGAGACGGAGAGAGAGAGAGCGAGAGAGAGAGAGAGAGAGAGAATGATACCAAAAGAGAGAAAGCATGAAAGAGAGAAGGAGGGAAAGCAGAAAGTGTTGAAAGCGAGCAAGAGAAAACGAAAGAAGACAGCAAGAGCGAAAGCGCGAAACAGCGAAAGAGAGAATGAGGAAAAGCAGAAGATTGAAAGCGAGAAAGAGAAAAAGAGAGACAGAGAGCAAGAGAGAAAGAGAGAAAGAGAGAAAGAGAGACAGAGAGAAAGAGACGAAGAGACAAAAAGGCAAAGAGAGAAAGAAAGAATGAGAGAAAGAGAGACAGAGAGAAAGAGAGGAAGAGAAAAAGAGACAAACAAAAGAGAAAAAGAGAGAAAAAGAGAAAGAGAGACAGAAAAAAAGAGAGGAAAATATAAAGAGACAAAGAGAGAAAGAGAGACAGAGAGAAAGAAAGAAAGAAAGAAAGAGACAAAGACAGAAAGAGAGAAAGAGAAAAAGAGAGGAAGAGACAAAGAGAGAAAGAGAGACAGAGAGAAAGAGAGACAGAGAGAAAGAAAGAAAGAAAGAAAGAAAGAAAGAAAGAAAGAAAGAAAGAGACAAAGACAGAAAGACAGAAAGAGAGAAAGAGAGAAAGAGAGGAAGAGAGAAAGAGAGAAAGAGAGACAGAGAGAAAGAGAGAAAGAGAGAAAGAGAGGAAGAGAGAAAGAGAGAAAGAGAGACAGAGAGAAAGAGAGGACGAGAGACAGAGAGGAAGAGAGGAAGAGAGAAAGAGAGAAAGAGAGAAAGAGAGAAAGAGCGAAAGCGGGAAAGAGAGAAAGAGAGAAAGAGAGAAAGAGAGAAAGAGAGAAAGAGAGAAAGAGAGAAACATTCAATCAACAAAAAAATGTATCCCCAGATGACATATGCTGTTGGTGAGCCACCCCCAGTTCCCCCACTTGGAAACAATGGGAAACCATTGTTTGTTGGTATTTCAACTGGAATCAAATCATTCCAGGGTTTCTCAGGTGGTGCAGGATTCCGTCCATCCACACGATGATGCTGACTGTGCCCAATGTCATCCCCTTTGTAGCACATTCATGCGACCGATGCTCGTTCTCTGGTAGCGAAGGGCCCACGTCGAACAACGCCAAAGAAATAACAGCCATTAATAACAACACACCCTGCCACGCAGAATAAACGCGAGAAAGCGACTTCCTATGGTTGTCAAGGACCTTAACATAAACCTCCACTGGCCTGGCTCAGAACCGAAACTAGCAAATCAAGGGTGAGCAATTCGGGTAAACTGGGTTAATACCAAGTTCTGTTTGAAGTCAGGCTTTACTTTGTTTCCATGCTGCAGGAATCTCAGCTGAGGGGAACACGGAGAATAGCGTACCCCACCAAATGCGGAACCCCTCAACAAGGGCGGTGCTGCAAAATTGTCCATGGATGGTGGTGCTGGTTGGGGGGGGGGGGAGACTTTCCTGCAATTGGAACCTTGCTCGGTCACTTTGAGAGCCCCAAATCAAAAAATATCAGGCTTGATTCGAACAGGGAGGGAAAAAAGAGCGAAAGTAAGCAAAATGTGATCGAATCCAAATAGATCCAAGCCACAAAAGCTGTCCGTGCCAGGGGTTTTCGCTAATCTAAACCTTGGATTAATTAACCTCCAAGAGTGATGATTCCCCGCTAAACCCACGGAACCCCCCCCCATTCCCGTTAGCTTATGCTTGATATGCGGATCCACCACTTTCGTGGAAAACGAACGTGCTCTGTCGGGATGCCATGGTTTTTGGGGTATTTTGGATTGTATTTGTACAAGCCCTTCATAACCCATTTGAGTGTGGCAATTTGGAAGAGAGGGCATTCTCTCAAATGGTTGGCACAGGCAGGCTTGGGCAATTCATCCTTGTTACAACATCTGCTCAACAACTTTTGTTTCAACCTCCCTTCAGTCACCTGTCTGGATACACCCCCTCAGCAAATGATATGAAAAACGAGTGTGATCCAGGACATGTTTCTCGAATAGAGGGTTTGTTTTTCAAAAAGGGTAACCCAATTTCTGTAAAAGGAATCCCTTTGAGACACCCCCACTTTGGGTGCCTTTCATGACCTCTCGCATCGAGGCACCGCGCGGCAGACCTCCGCCAGGTCTGCGGACGTCAAAGCTGACCCCTTTTCGGCCTCGCGATCCGAAGCGGCTCCGGGAGCGCTTTGGTGCCCAAAATGGAAAATGGGGAGGGTGTCAGGTCTCAAGTGATGCGTTTGATCTGGGGAAGAGACCACCGCCTTTTGTTGGTATGGGCCAGTCTCACTAGAAGGACAAGCAATATGCTGCAGAGATTTCACTTCGGGCCAAACCCGACCAGAGATCCAAAAGAAGCCTCAGCTTTAAGAAATTCGATATGATCACATGAGACAATTGGCATGGCACTTCATGGGCCGCCCAAAAACTGCCAATGGCCCATGTAGCTTTATCCGAAACCAAAGGCAAAGCCATCACGTTTCGCAAAAGGCGACGTCCCGGCGCTGCCTGGCGGTGCAGAATCGCTTCCGCTAGGCGCCAAGCGAGCAGCGAGCTCTGCTCTCCGTACCTTGTTGGGAACCCCTGATTGCGGATGCACCAGCAAAGGGCGATTGCCATGGTTTCCTTTGATCTGAACAAATTTCACCTCGCAGATAGACGAAACCCACCGAATTCTCAGATGCCCAACAGCAACTGTCGGAACAATTCCGGAGCCCCAGCCCCAAGCTGCAACGGCCCCATAGCTTGCGACTGTTGCAGCAAGGAGGGCAGACAACAACCAACCAAAAATATCGCCACAAACCGAACATCAAGTATCCAACAAAACTGCGTGGTTTCTCGTGTCAAAAAGTCAACTTTTAGCAGGAGTCATAAATCCCTCACAATTTAAAAAAAACGGAGAAACTACCCGGTCGAGGTACTCCTGCAGCACCCAGGCCAGTTCTGCTGCTGTGACCTGTGGTTCAGAACTGCTTTTGTGATTCTCGGGTGTGCAGCGGGGTCTTTTGGGGGGCTGTGTGTTTGGGGGAGGGGGAGGGGGGGTGATGGGGGCATCCTTCTTGAAGACTCTGCATGAGCACTTTGATACATTGAACAGATCCCTCGTTCGAGCATTCCATTCTTCGCCCTGTGAGTCGGTGTGGCTTTCCCTTGGACAAAAGGTCCAAAAGGGCCCAGACCAATGACCATGGAGGGGTCTCGAAAAACGTCCAAACACATGTTTAAAGTTGGAAAGCCTTTCAAAACACATATTCGTCCTGTCTTTGACCTGGATGCATGACCTTCCGAGATTGAAATTGTTAGGTGTGTGTCCTTCTGGTGTCCCTGTGGAAAAACAAAAAGAAACGCCAAAGATAAAGTGTTTCTTCAACATTGCCTTTAAAAAACTACCCAACCGCTTTTGATTTCCCTTAAACCATCTAAAAAAAAAACTCCTTTGGCTCCTGTTTTTCTTGAACCAAACAAAGCATGTGTCCATCAGTCAGAAAACAACCTTGACCATCGAGAACGGGACATCCCTTTGATGTTAACCGCTTTACCTTTCGCCTGTCCTTTTGGTGTCCACCAAAAACAATTTCATGGGATCCCCTTTCTCCATGAGCTTTCACAACAACAAAATAGTTGATTTAGTATGGTTGCCCTTTTGCGGCTATCTAAACCGCAAAGGAAAGGACCATGCCTTCCGACCATCACTCTTACAAATGTTTCCTGTAGCCATCACAACAAAGCACCACCAACTGGTGACTGCCCTCATTGACCGCAAATCACCCGTGTTTTTTTAGATTAAGTGTTCGGAAACTAAAACAGCGAATTCAGAAACTAATGGGGCGCATTATTCGGAAACTATGATTCGGAAACTAAATGTTAAAAAGACGGATTCGGAAACTAGAAAGTCGGATTCGGAAACTAGGATTCGCAAAACTAGAACGACGGATTTGGAAACTAAAGCGGCGGATTCGGAAACTAAAGCGGCGGATTTTGAAACTAAAGCGACGGACTCGAAAATTTGGGTTTGGAAACTAGGGTTTAGAAATTAAGAAGACTAAAGCGCCGGATTCGGAAACACAAGCGACGGATTCGGAAACTAGGGCTGCCGAAGGCAAATATTGGCAAGATGTCGTGAAGCACCCGTGGCCCTAGGGTCCTGGCAATCGGGCGGTTGTTGCGAGCTACAATTCTGCGCGGTTTCTCGTAGTGAAAGTCAGTCAGCCAAATTGGCAGCAAAAAAGGTCCACCATTCTGAGAAAACCTCATGCGCGCAAGAGTCAATCGGTTGACGGCGACTATGTCCAAAGGTTCAGAGTGAACGCGTAAACCGTTCTAGCTCCCCGGTTAGAACAACTTGATTTCGGGGACAGGGTTCAGCCCGACCGACTGGATCAAGATCACCTCAGCTGCTGAGGTGGCCGAAAGTTTCGGCCAGAAGACGCATCGCACCCTCCAAATCCAGCTGAAACTTTTCGAGAGAACCTTGGGATGACTTGAACTGGGCAAACTATTGTGCATTTTAGGGTGGACATGCAAACCATAGTTTGAGAGCATTCTTTCAGTGTACCCCAGCTGTGGGCCAAGTTGTTAAAGGGGGTCAAAGATTCAGGGGAGAAGGCGGGGAAACGAGCACAGATGCAGATGGGCGGCTGAAGCGATGGCATGGCCTTCGTAGCGCGCTCCCCATTGGGCCATTGTCGGTTTTCCAAGTTGGGATGATGGGGTGAGAGGGCGAGGTGGGGTGAGAGTAAGTTGAGGCGGGGGTGAGAGCGGGGTGAGAGTGGGGTGAGAGTGGGGCAAGTGGGCGTGAGAGGGGTCAGTCCGGTGAGCTCAGGTGAGACTGGGGTGAGAGCGGGGTTGAGAGTCGGCGAGAGTGGTGCGAGTGGGGTGAGAATGGGGTGAAAGTGGGGTGAGACTGGGGTGAGAATGGGGTGGCAGTGGTCCGAGCGAGAGGGGTCAGAGTGGGGTTAGACTGGGGTGACAGGGGTGCGAGTGAGAGGGTAAGAAGGGTGAGAGGGGCGAGAATGGGGTGTGGGTGGGGTGGGTGCGAGTGGGTTCAGAATGGAGTGAGAATTGGTGTCGTGAATTGGGATTGGCCCAACCTACCTGACAATCAACTGTTTGCGACTCATGCCACATGTCCGAAATTTGTTTCTTCTTCTCAACATTAAACGTGGATGTTCATCAACTCAAAGCAACACATGCCATGTCAATACCTCCACCACTGTTGGGAAATGATTTGCTCAATTGGACCCAAATGGACATGTTCTGAACAGGCCCCCGCCCCAAGTCAAGCCACATCATTTGTGGCTGTCCTAGCCTTCTCACCTTACCGGCACTCTCACCTCAGTCTCACCTCGCTCCTCACTCTCGGCACTCTCACCTCACTCTTGCCTACAACTCATTCTCACCTCGCTCCTCACTCTCGCCTCTCTCTCACCTCGCTCTCACTTTACTCTCTCGCTTGTGACTCACCTCACTCTCACCTCACTCTTACCACACTCTCACTCTCACCTCACTTTCGCTTCACTCTTACCTCACTCTCGCTTCACTCTCGCTTCTCTCTTCACTCTTAACTCACTCTCACCTCACTCTTAACTCACTGTCACCCCACCTACCTCTCACCGTACTCTCACCTTAGTCTTCCCCGACCTCATCATTGCCTTACTTTCACCTCACCCCACCTTACCCCTCACCCCACCACACACACACACACACCCATGTTCCTCCGACGAAACAATCAAGGCATGCTAGGTTGCTGCGCTGCATCCCAGCCCATTCCCTTGAGGCGCCTGGACAGCGGCCATGGGTCGGACCCGAACAAACGCAAGGCTGGGGAGTTCAGAAGGCTGGCCTTGGGGTGGATTTCTGGTAAGCTACCACATTGCGATTCTGGATACCATGGAGTTTTTTAGCTATTCCTTTAAATGAAGCGCCGTCAAAATTACTTCTGTTGAATTTAGTATTCGGCGTTGCATTGATGGTACGGAAATGCACACAACTATGGCAAACGATAGGGGACTCTCAAAAAAACAATACCCTTGAGCAATTTAGTTTCTGTTCGCGTGCTTGTTATTTCTGTATGGGATTGCAATTTTTCTGCTTATTGGACTCAGATGAGGCACTCCACTTTATTTGAAAAAGGGCACTCTCTTTACACAGGCTACTTGTGCTAGGGCACGCCTTCAATTCAAGTGGCTCCCGCCTTTCTGTAGACCCTGGCCCAGCCAGCGTTTGCTCCCTGTTTCCCACCTCGTTCAAAATGCAGCCTTAGTCTTCATGCCCAATGGCAAGGGGTTACGCACGGACCTTTTATAAAGATGGAGGTGCTTCTTGCCTGCGCCGGGTGCTCCGAGATGGGAGGGGTGGTGAACGCTTTTTGGGCAAGCTGTTTGGGATGCGCGCTCTCCTTGTAGTTCCGTGGAAGCGTGGCAAACGGACACTTCATGGGTGGGCACGAATGCCAGAACAGGATAACCAACCACCAAATCGTCGGGCAGCAGCGCGGGTTGCGAGGCGCACGCATGCAACGCATGCGTAGGTTGTTTCTTGCGCATGCTTGGGCCAAGGGAAGCTTAGCAGAGTTTTCTAGTCTTGGCAGGCGGTTTGAACGATACCCCGAACGATACCTAAACGATAGCCGGAAAACACAAGAATACGGCCAGACCACCGCGTACCGCTCACACTACCACATTTGGCTGTTCCCACTCTCGCGGCCTCCTCTCCTCTCCTCCTCCACCCCCTCCCTCTCCTCTCCTCCTCCACCCCCTCTCCGCTCCTCCCCCTCCTTCTCTCCTTGTCTCCTTCCTTTCCTTCCCTTCCCTTCCCTCTTCCCTTCCCTCTTCCTCTTCCTCTTCCTCTTCCTCTTCCGCTTCCTCTTCCTCTTCCGCTTCCTCTTCCTCTTCCTCTTCCTCTTCCTCTTCCTCTTCCTCTTCCTTTCTTCCTTTCTTCCTTTCTTCCTTTCTTCCTTTCTTGCTTCCTTGCTTCCTTGCTTCCTTGCTTCCTTGCTTCCTTGCTTCCTTCCTTCCTTGCTTCCTTCCTTCCTTGCTTCCTTGCTTCCTTGCTTCCTTGCTTCCTTGCTTCCTTGCTTCCTTGCTTCCTTGCTTCCTTGCTTCCTTGCTTCTTTGCTTCTTTGCTTCCTTGCTTCCTTGCTTCCTTGCTTCCTTGCTTCCTTGCTTCCTTGCTTCCTTGCTTCCTTCCTTCAATCCTTCCTTCCTTCCTTCCTTCCTTCCTTCCTTCCTTCCTTCCTTCCTTCCTTCCTTCCTTCCTT